ACTCCAGGGCGGGCCCAGCAGGCCAGCCCGTGCTCTGTCCCCTTGCAGGCTCCCCGTAGGCACTCGTAGCCTCAGGCGTCTACAAAGACACCTCCAGCCCAGGTCTGCACGCTGCGCCGGTGGGGAGGAGAGGAGTAGCCAGCCTCCAGACCCCCACCTGACAGGCACATCCAGGGCCTGGAGCCCCCACTGCTCAGAGCAGCTTGGTGCCCATCCCCACTGCTCAGCTCCCTTAACAGAGCGCCACGAGCTGTCTCCGCCCACTCCAGTTTTCCTTCCTCAAAACCTGAAATCATCATCGCTGTTGTTTTTGAGTGTGGACTGCGTGTCAGAAACCTGTAAGAGGTATGCATCATCTCATCAACCTATCAACAGCCCTGTGACAAAGGTGATAAACTCTACTTTCAGATGACACACAGGTGTAAGGAATGAAAGCAGGTTTCACCTGATTCCAGAGTCCAGGGCACCACCAAGGGTCTCCCTGGGGGTGGCCGTGTGCCTGGGGAGTGGCTGGCAGGATGAACGAGGCAGAGGAAGCCGGCCCTGCCTTCTGCAAAGAAGCCCGGCTGGAGTTTTCCCAACTCACCAGCAGGGCAGAGCCCTGGGTCCCCACCTCGCTGGTGCCCAGAACTCTGTGACCTAGAAAATCCCATCCCTCTTCACTGACGTCCCGTCACCCCAAGAGACAGTCCAATCTCGCCCAAGGCCCTCCATGACCTGTCCCTTTCCTCCTTCCCAGCGCCCTCACCTGCCGTGTTTGGCTCAGCCCCACCTTCCAGACACCCTGAACTACACCCTGAACCATACAGAGTTCCCCAAACAGGTAGTGATATTCACGCCTCCACGCTTCTGCACACGCACTTCCCCTCTCCCTGGCCCTGCTCCCGCCCCTGCCCGGGTGGACCTGGCTGCCTCCTGCCAGTTTGTGAAGACTGGGCTGAGACCTCACCTCCAGGATTCTTTCTTTCTTTTTTAAAAAAATTGTGTTGGAGTATAGTTGCTTTACAATATTGTATCAGTTTCTGCTGTATGTCAAAGTGAATCAGATAGATATATATATCTCCCCTCTTTTTTGAGTAGAGTTCCCTGTGCTGTGCAGTAGGTTCTCTTTAGTTACCTATTTTATACTTAGGGCTTCCCAGGTACCACTGGTGGTAAAGAACCCTCTCACCAGTGCAGGACATGCAAGAGACCTGGGTTTGATCCCTGTGTTCGGAAGATGCCCTGGGGGAGGGCATGGCAACCCACTCCAGTGTTCCTGCCTGGAGAATCCCATGGACAGACAGGAGCATGGCGGGCTGCAGTGCATAGGGTCACAAAAGAGTTGGACACGAGTGAAGCGAATTAGCACTCCCATCAGTAGTGTATACACATCAATCCCAATCTCCCGATTCATCCCACCCTCCGCTTCCCCTCTGGTATCCATACATTTGTTCTCTGTGTCTCGATTTCTGCTTTGCAAATACCCTTTTTCTAGCTTCTACACATGCAGGTTAATATACTATGTTCGTTTTTCTCTTTCTGACTTCCTTCACCCTGTATGACTGTCTAAGGTCCACTCACAGATTCCTCTCCTGACCCTGCCCCCTTCCCGGCCGGTCTGGGTGCCCCGTTCCGGAGTCCCGCAGGGCTGGCCGCCGTCTTTTGTAGCACAGTCACCCCGGTCCTTTACTCACTGCTGCCCCGCGAGCCCCGGCGGGCAGAGGTCTCTCTTACGGTTGGTTTCCCCAGGTCCCTAGCTCAGGGCCGGGCACGTGGTGGGATGCGCGTGGGGGTGGGGCGGTCCTGGCTCCATCTCAGGGAGACAGAGACGTCAGCAGTGGGGCCCGGCTGGGAGCGGTGGGGAGGAGAAGGGTGTCTGCCAGCGGGGCTGTACCTTTTGACCCCTCACTGACTCCGACCAGCTCCTGGGGCTCAGCGTGGCTGAGGGCAGCCTGGGCCTCACTGGCAGCCCTGTCAAGGGAGGACAGTCAGTGCCAGGGCCTCCGCGGGGCCCGGGGGATCTTTGAGGCCCAGCGGGTAAGCTCAGTAACTCAGTCCTGTCTGACTCTTTACGACTCTATGGACTGTACCTGCTAGGCTTCTCTGTCCATGGGATTTCCCAGGCAAGAATCCTGGAGCTGGTTGCCATTTTCTTCCCTAGGGTGTCTTCCCAAGCCGGGGATCGAACGTACATCTCCTGAATATCCTGCATTGGCAGGCAGATTCTTTACCACGGCACCATCTGGGGAGCCAAGGAGATCTGATTTATCACCAGGGTCACTGCATCCATGTAGCAGAGAAAAGAGACTTGGCTGAGCCCAGGGGCGGAGGTCTTAAGGGTAGCACAGCAGAGACCTGAGGACCAGGGTGAGTGTTGCATTGTAGTCACGTGTCTTTGACTTAGATGTTGTCGGTGCTGTTCTGTGCATCTGATGAGGAAACCGGAGGCAAAAAATTAAAGAACTTGCATTTGGTTACACAGTTAATTAGAGGCTTCCCAGGTGGTTCAGTGGTAAAGAATCCACTTACCAATACAGGAGACCCAGGAGACATGGGTTCGATCCCAGGTTGGGAAGATCACCCAGAGCAGGAAATGGCAACCCACTCCAATATTCTTGCCTGGAAAATTCCATGGACAGAGGAGCCTGGAGTTGCCAAGAGTCAGATACAACTGAGTGCGCGTGCGCGCGCGCGCACGCACACACACACACACACACACACACACACACACACATCTACAAAACTTGAAGCTTTTTTCCAGACAGGAAACTGGTGAGTGTTAATGTGCAGGGCTGTGGTTTTCTTCCATCCTTTGCTTCTTGAAGAAGCCCAGCTGGGCACAGTCTCCAAATCCTTTCACCCCCTCCCCCCATCTGCTGCCAGATTCTGAAAGTCCCTGATCCAGGAGTCATGAGCCGTTTACCAGTTGGAAAACATTGCTGCCACCAAGCTTGTCTATGCGGGTCACTGTGACAGTCCCTGGGAATAACCCCAGATTCCCTGGAAACTCCCCTGTGACCCCCTGCCTCCATGCACCCCGTGTCTGGAAGTAGGAGCCATACCATGCAGTAGAGGAGCCTGAAAGCCAGGCTAGAGTTGGAGCTTTATTCTTTTCTCCCCCCAAACTTTAAGCTTTTTATTTTGTACGGAGCTTCGTACTTAATGGAATGGAGAGCCACTGGGAAATGTTCAGCCTGGTGACAGCAGGGTACATGTACCTTCATTCTCTTCGGAAGATGAGCTATGAAGCAGTGGAGAGATGGAGATAGTGCAGGAGTCCAGGGGCGAAGTGAGAAGGAGCCTGGCAGCCCAACCTGATTTCAGCCTCTGATGTAACACCCTTCATTTCACAAACCCGAGCCTCTGCAACATGCTTGTGGGGAAGTGATTTGGGGTTTGGAGTCAGATCGCTAGAGAGGGCAGACCGAGCCTCCAGTGTCCTGGCTCTTTGATTCAAGGAACCCAGGGATAGAATGAGGCTTCTCCCCTTCTTCCCCACCTTCTCCAGGGGATCTTTAAGAAACCAAGGCTCTGGCCTTTCTCCTGGGCTGGAGTCCACACTGAGCTCTCTTCTCCATGTACTTCCTGGCTCCTGGATGCTGAGTCGGCTCAGCTGATGCTCTGCTGGGGAAGCAGTGACTCAGGAGGACATGTGGGGCCCTCCCCCAGATCCTCAGGAGAAGGAGAAGAGTGGGGCGGGCAGTGGAAACTTCAGTGGTGCCTGGCTGACCTGTGTTTTCCACCCCAGATCAGTGCACGGGATGAGAAGCGGGGGTGGGAGAGGGCTGTGTGATGCGTGAGCCACAATGGAAAGAGTGAGCCTTCTGTCTGGAGGAATGCACTAGCATGGAGCCAGGCAGAGGACCTGGGTCCTGTCAACCAGCTTTTTCCTGCTGCCACATTTCCCTCTGTGTTTTGGACTCTGCTCCTGCTGGGCTGTAGCAGGTGCTATTTCTGCAGTGTTCTAGGCTTCTCTCAGACGGTAAAGAATCTGCCTGCAATGTAGGAGACCTGAGTTTGGTCCCAGGGTGGGGAAGATCCCCTGGAGAACGGAATGGCTACCCATTCCAGTATTCATACCTGGAGAATCTCACAGACAGAGGAGCCTGGCAGGCTACAGTCCATGGGGTGGCTGAGTCAGACACGACTGAGCAACCAACTAGGCTTACGAGGAGTAGTTGACCTCACTTTAAAGATAGACCCTTTCTGGAAGTTTGGAATCAACATGTACACACTGATACATTTAAAATGGATGATGTATATGTATGACTCAGTCCCTTTGCTATTCACTTGAAACTACCTCAACATTTTTAATCGACTGTACCCCAATACAAAATAATAAAATAATAAAATAATAAAAATTTTAAAAGTAAAATAAAATGGATAACTATCAAGGACCTACCGTATAACACAGTTATACAGTATAACTGTGTTATACCGTATAATGTTATGTCACAGGCTGGATAGGAGGGGAGTTTGGGGGAGAATGGATATATATGTATGTATGGCTGAGTCCCTTCTCTGTTCACTGAAACTATCACATTGTTCATCAACCCTACCCCAATACAAAATAAAAAGTTTTTTTAAGAAGGAGACACTTGGCATGCATCATCCTCCTACCAGCTTCCACCGTTTCCGGTATTTAAACACAGTTCTGTCTCCCTGCGCCCCCATCTCTCTCCACACACACACAGAGGCACCCTGATCTTAGGGAGGACAAGAAGTAGAGGCGATGGGCAGTGACAAGAGCCGCAGAGGGGACTCTGGTGTTGTCTAGGACGCTGCTGCTGGCCCAGCTCTGTTGGAAGGCCTCTGTCCTCGGGAGCAGGAACTCCGAGCGCTCTGGCCTCTGGGCACCTGTCCCTCCCCTCCCCTTGGCCTCTGCCCCGAGCAGCTTGTGTCTGGAGGGGAGCGTTGGTGGTGCTGCCAGAACAGGCACAGGCGGACTGCTTCCTGGACACAGTGGAGACAGTAGGCCTGGATTCCCTGCTAACCCAGATGCCCACCTTCCCCTGCAGGTACCGAGCCTACATCCTGCTCATCACCTTCTTAATCTACACCTGCTATCACATGTCCCGGAAGCCCATCAGTGTCGTCAAGGTGAGTCTGGCCCGGGGGTAAGGAAGAATGCAGGACTGCTGGCCTCAGCAGGGATACGGAAATACTTCAGTAGAACAGCCCAGAGCTCAATGAAGCACAGTCCTTGTCCCTTATCTTGGTCACCAAGTCTGTCTCCTCCCCCTTGGCTGACTCCCACTTTTAGCAGTTCTTTTTCCCAGGAGAGTTTCCTGGGTTTCTTCACCAAGAGAGCAGTGTCGGGGAGCTGGGGGTGGAACCAGAGAGCAGGCACCTTGGGTCCCCCGGGTGCTGCTCGTAGACACCCCTTGTGCTTCACCGAGTCTCTGCCCTGGCTCCTTGTCCCCAGAGCCATACCCGCCTGACCGGGTGTCAGAGGAAGATGCAGGGAGTCCAGGAGGGAGGGGCAGTGGGCTGGAGGGGGTTGCTGGCTCCCTTGCGGGCTGGGTTGACCCTGGGGTCACCAGCTAACCCCTGACCTGCGCACCCGTCACCTCTCCAGAGCCGTCTGCACCACAACTGCTCAGAGGTGATCCAGCCCCTCAACAGCACCCACAGTCTCAACGACACCACATGGTGCAACTGGGCCCCCTTTGGTAAGAGCGGGGCGAGCGGCTCCTCCCCACGCCTGCTCCCCATCCAGGCCCGGAGAGACAGCCAGCTTTCTGTCTCCCCGGTCCGCCTACAGATAAGAGCAACTACAAGGAGTTACTGGGGGCCGTGGACAATGCCTTCCTCGTGGCCTATGCCATCGGCATGTTTATCAGGTAAGAGGCAGAGTCTGTGTTGTCCTTTAGGATGGTTCAGAACTGCCGCCTCCTCTAAACCAACCTGGGGCAGTGGGGTCAAAGAGAGAAAGTTGTTGGAAATGAGACAAGCCTTCCACACATCCTGTCACCCGTAGCTGGCGTGTTGCCGCTTTCACCCAGCCTCCTCCTTCACCTGGATGACTGCCTCTTTTAGTAACTCTCCTGCAAAGGCCTTCCTGGATCTCCTTTTGAGTTTATTCACTCAGATGGCATGTCAGCGGTGTGGCTGGAATATGGTCTGTCTTGGACAGGGGTCCTTCAAGGATAACCTGAAAGCTTAAAGCCCAGCATGGCTTTTATGTAGCAAGCATGATGTTTGTTGCCAGGAGTCGAGGATGACTGAGGCTGGCTTCTACCTCTAGAGAGCTCACAGCCTAATGGGGTGACCGATACTTCAGCAGCTGCGTTATAAACAGTACAGTGGCTCTGAGACAGAGGCGGCTATGTATGGAGCTCCGGAGTCACTTAGTCTGAGCTGGGATTAGAAAAGAGGGATCAGGAAAGTCTTGGAGGAGATGACATTTGAACTGATGAAGAGAAATTGGACTTGGCTCATTTGAAAAGACCCTGATGCTGGGAAGGATTGAAAGCGGGAGAAGAAGGGGACGACAGAGGATGAGATGGTTGCATGGCATCCCCAACTCAATGGACATGAGTCTGCGTAAACTTCGGGAGTTGGTGATGGAGAGGGAGGCCTGGCGTGCTGCAGTCCATGGGATTATAAAGAGTTGGACACGACTGAGCAACTGAACTGAACTGAGTAGAAATAAGAGTCTTCCCCACTGGCTCAGTGGGTAAAGAATCCACCTGGGAGGCAAGGGACACAGGAGACTCGGCTTTGATCCCTGTGTGGGGCAGATTTTCTCGAAGAGGAAATGGCAACCCTCTCCCATATTCTTGTCTAAAAAATTCCTTGGACAGAGGAGCTTGGTGGGCTACAGTCCATAGGGTGGCAGAAAGATAGACCCGACTGAGCATGCTCGCACAATGGAGGCATGGCTTGGTGAAAGAAGGCAGCTGTAATTTGAAGCAGCATGACTGCACAGGGGAGGGGGTGGACTGGGGGACTCATAACAGGTTTCCCAACATGCAAAACGCAGGAGATGGGGCGGAGGACGGGGTTCCTTTTTTCTTGGGTTTTGGGCCCGGGGGGGCCCCGGGTTGGTTTTCTTTTTCGGTTTACATGTCAGACAGATATGAGAGGCTGACGGAGGTGGACCTGAGGGAGAGCAGGGCTGATCGGCTTCTCCGGTAACTCAGATGGTAAAGAATCTGCCTGCAGTGCAGGAGACACAGGAGGTGCGAGTTCAATCCCTGGGTTGGGAAGATCCCCTGGAGAAGTGAATGGCAACCCACTCCAGTATTCTTGCCCGGAGAATCCCATGGACAGAGGAGCCCAACTGGCTATAGTCCATGGGGTCCCAAAGAGCTGGACACGACCGAGTGACTGTCACTTCACTTCAGGGCTGACTAGCAGGTCACACACAGGAGCAGATCTGAGAGCAGCCCAGCTGGGCTTGGAGGAACGCCTAAGTTAGAACAGTATTATTAATAACAGAGATGGAGAGAAATGACATGCTGGAGAGAAATAAGAGGAGCAGTGGGCAGATCTTGGAGGTCGCTTGTGGAGGGTGGGTTGCAGGGACAGGAGACTGAGGTAGCTCGTTTCCGGCTTGAGTGGCCAAATGTGGGGATGCCATCCAGTCCGCTGAGTGGCACAGACACAGGGCAGGGTCTGGAAGGGAGGCAGAGGAGTCCAGTCTTTGGAGTTGTTGACAGGCAGCTATTTGGGAGGCGCCGCCATCAGGATGTCCAGAAGGCATGTGGATATGGTCCTGAGAGAAAGTTCAGGGCTGCAGACACACAGCTGGGTCGTGTACGTGTATAGACGTGGCAGGTAAAACCATAAAGGTGATGCAAGAGAAAATGCATGAGCTGGACTGGTCAGCCAAGGGGGAAGAGGAGGGTCGCGGGGATGTCACAGAGGCCACTCTGCCAGGCATGTTGCGAGGCGCGTGGTCAAAGCAGAGGCTCCTAGTGGCCACACAGAGGTCCCTGGTGGTCACCTCGGCAATGTTTCAGTAGCTGTGGGTGGGGCCCCGGGGGAGCCAGGAGGTGGAGGGCAGGGCTGCGAGGTAGCGGAGATTAACCACGAACCCACCTCTCTCTGCAGCGGCATTTTTGGGGAGCGGCTCCCCCTCCGATACTACCTCACAGCCGGGATGCTGCTCAGCGGCCTTTTCACCTCGCTCTTCGGCCTGGGCTATTTCTGGAACATTCATGTGCTCTGGTACTTTGTGCTGGTGCAGGTACGAGCCTTTTCCGGCTTGCACTCGGGCCTCTGTCCCTGCACAGACCCAGCCTCCCCGGGTCACGGCAGATCCCCAGCCGGTCTCCTTTATCATACTGCGGGGTCCCCTGCCCACAGCCAGGGCGGCCTCGCCGGCTCAGGGAGTCTGCACTGAGCATCAGCCTGAGGTCCCTGGAGGCGCCTGCGAGGCCCGGTCTCTGCCGTGGGGGCCTGGGGTCAGAGGGACATCAGCTGGTGGGTGTGTGCACGCGTGTGAAGGAAGGCGGGGCATAGCGTGGATTCTGGAGGACCCCCCATGCCAGATGCTGCACCGCTCAGTCCAGGGGCCTCTGTCCCCCCACTTTCCCTGCAGATCTTCAACGGACTCGTGCAGACCACGGGCTGGCCCGCCGTGGTGAGCTGCGTGGGCAACTGGTTCGGGAAGGGCAAGTGAGTGTGACCAGGGAGGAGGGTGGGCATTGCCTGGGGGCGCTGGGCTGGTGTGGGGGCGGGAGGTCCCTTGTGGCCTCTGATACGATTTTAGGATCAAAGATTAGAAATAAGCCTCTGTCCTGCTGACTTTCACAGGCTGGGATACAAACGTTTTAGTGACTAAAAGCAGTGAGCATTTTCATTGCTGAGGTTTTAATCCTTAAAACCTGCCATCTTCGTTATTATGCCTTTTGCTCATAATAGATGAATTTCCATTTTGCATGAAGACAAAAATGAAGCCTATAAAACTCTCTGTGTGTGTGTGTGTGTATATATATATGTATATATGTATAAATAATACATATACCCATATATTTTTAATGCATATATATGTATATGTCTTATATATTTATTTATTTTTCCCTTGAACTGGCTTTTGTGCAAAAAAAAAAGTTTCTTTTGGGCAGAGTTTCTCAACCCTGGCACTGTTAACATCGTGGGCTACATTTGGGGCTGTGTTAATTCTTTGTTAGGGGGCCGTCCTACACGTTGTAGCATTTAGCAGCCTCTACCTGCTAGACACCACCAGCACACTCGGGAGTGGATCACCAGAACTCTCCAGACAGTGTCTGTGTGCCCTGGGGGCAGTCACCCTTAGCTGAGGCCTTCAGAGTCACAGCCTCAGGGCTAGAGAAGAAAGGGCAGGGCTGTGGCCCTGGGACAGAGGGGAGGCAGGGCTTGCTCAGGGAGCTGGGTGGGGAGCAGGTCATGCCAGGCCTGGCTGTCACTCGATGCCAGCCAGCCTTGCCTCTCCTCCCTGACTGGGGTCTTTGGGCACGGAGGCTGCAGGCATCCAGCTTTTTGCACTTGGCCGGGGCGGTCTCCGTGAGCCCAGGACTTCTCTTCTTACCTCTCCTGCTCTTGCCTCCCTGCCTCCCTCCCTGCCTCCCCTCCAGGCGGGGGCTCATCATGGGCATCTGGAACTCCCACACGTCCGTGGGCAACATCCTGGGCTCCCTGCTGGCTGGCGTGTGGGTGGATCAGCAGTGGGGTCTGTCCTTCGTGGTGCCTGGTGTCATCACCGCCATCATGGGCATCATCACCTTCTTCTTCCTCATCGAATGTGAGTGGACCCCCTCCCTGCCTCCCCACAGAGCCGGAGTGGAGTCTCCCAGTTAGGTTCTGGGAGATGGAGGCTGGTCCCGTGGGGGTCGCGGGATTGGAGGCCCAGCCATGTGACTCAGGATGGACAACCTCTCTGAGCCTCGATTTCTCATGCGGGACACCTGCTCACAGACAGACACGTGCTCACAGACACGTGGGAGAGTGTCTGTGAGATGTGTGTCAGGATGCCCAGCAAACACTGGCTCCTCTGAGCCTGAGAAGTGGGTCATGCTTGCTGCTTTTTTTCTGGCTCCCTGACAGATGGCCCCTGGAGTCATGGCCGTGGTCACTTGTAAGCAAGAGAACGAAAGTCCATAAGGCTCCCTTGGTTAGGAGACCTAGGCCTCAAAGGTGGTCTCCGGAGCCCCAGCTCCCTCATGCTGGAAAGCCCACGGGCCTCCTTGGGGGTGTGGGGGTTCACACGCCCTGCAGGATGAGGGCCTGGTCTGCTGGCAAGCTTCTTAGAAGGTTTTCCTTTCAGACCCAGAAGACGTGGACTGCGCCCCGCCTCAGCACCACGTGAGTGTGGCCCCCAGCCCCATTCCACTGGGGGCTGGTCCCAGAGAGGCCTGGGGAGTTGAGGAGGGGCCTGTGTGTCCAAAGTTGGGCCCGCAGGTGGCTCCCTGGCAGGTGGTGAGTCTGGTCCAGGAGGGGGGCCGCATACCTCATGCAGTCCGTCTCATGTGGGTTGTCCCTCCAGCTGGTGGGGGGTAGTATGTGGACGTGCCCCCAGTCAGGGCTCTTCTCTGCTCAGGGTAATCCGGAAGAGAGCCAAGACCGCCCCGAGGACCCCGCGAACGGACCCCACTGTAACAAAGAGAGCAGCCTGGAGTCAGCTGTCACCTGCTCCAAGGACGCAAGCGCTCAGCCTACCGCCATCAGCTTCTTCGGGGCCCTGCGCATCCCGGTGAGTCATCTGTGGACCAGAAGGAAGAGAGAGGCTCTCTAGATTTTTCTGTTGGAGATGGCGACGCTCAGGGTGATCCACAGTTTGCAGAGTTTCTTTACATGCAGTGCTTGGGGGTGGGGGCCCTCCTGGGGAGGGCAGTGTGGCCAGACGTTACCCTGGCGTTCAGGCAGCAGGCACGTTGCTGTACCTGAGACCGGCGGCGTTCTAGAGGCCGCTGCGCGTGGTGGGCGGTGGAAAGTGCTGGCACGGGGCTTGGCGGCCACGGGCCCCAGGCTGTGCTGCCCACCCTCCCATCTGCCGTCTGCTGTGCTCCCAGGGCGTGGTCGAGTTCTCCTTGTGTCTGCTGTTCGCCAAGCTGGTCAGCTACACCTTTCTCTACTGGCTGCCTCTGTACATTGCCAATGTGGGTGAGTTCATGGGGACACGAGGGGAGAGAGGAAGGGGGCCTCCAAGGAGGAGGCCCTCCACGCGACGCCTACGGCTCCACGAATAGGCGGGGTTTCTGCTGAGCCTCCCCTAGCACAGAAGGGAAACTTTTTTCTTTAATGGGAAGCTAAATTTTGCAGAAAGCCTCCTAGTCTCTGACTGATTCCAACCACTTTCCCTCACTTGGCACTCAGTCGGGGTAAGGAACTTAAATCCTCTCTAAGGTCTACTCTGGCCTCAAGTGTAGGCGAAACCCTGCTTCAGGCCCATTGGCTCATAGATGGGTGGGATTGGAGGGTGCTGGAGAAACGGTCTGCCTTCTGAATGCCTCCAGGAGTCTCTCAAGCCTCCCCCAGCCCAAGGAAGAGGGCCTGGCAAGCAGCCCCCGCTGCTGGTAGCCTGGTGGGAAACACCGTTCTCTTCCCAGGGGCTGCCGGGATACTCGGGCCATTGGTGCCCAGTGCCCAAGTCTCCTGGGCTGGCCACCTCGTGGACTTCCTGTCCCCTGCCTCTGTCCCTGCCCAAGGATGGACAGATGAGGAGAGGTCACTTCGGTGGTTAGAAAAGGATGTTTACGTCCTGTCCTGGGTCTCTGGTTGTCCCCAGGTGGGGCTGCTCTATCAAGGAGCAGGTCTGCCCCCAGAGCCCCAGAGCCCCGCCAGGGTCAAGGACCTCTCAGCAGGGCCACCGGGCTCCCTCCAGGGCCCTGGGGGGACAAGCTGCCGTGCACACGGTACACTGGGGCCACAGGATGCCATTTGGATGAGTCAGGGCCAAATCTCAAGCTGTAACCTGCCCCGTCCCACCCTCGCCCTGTCTGCATCTGAGGGGCCTCCCCGCAAGACAGGGCGAGAGCCCAGGGCGGCCCTGTGGACACTGACTCTTTGTTCTGTGGCCTTGATGCTGGCCACATGAGTCAACCTTGAGAGCTGGGCAGCCAGTCACGCTGCCGGGCGCCCCTCTTTCTAATCCCAGGGCAAGATCAGGGGCCTGGGGTGCCCATTCTCCCCGTGAGCCTCCTTCCTGGCTCTGTTTATCAGCAGACACCTCAGAAGGGGGTGACAAGCTCCTGTGGGGGTGCGCTGCTTCGTCAGGGGTGGGCAGGCATGTGGCTGGACGGGCCGAGGCTCAGATAGCGCCAGGGTGCCCCCCCGCTGGGACAGGGTCCTTGGGGGCCAGATCCCAGTGCTCTCAGAGGTCAAGGCCATCCGACAGGGGAAGAAGTCAGTACAGGCCTGGGGGCCAGAATGGGCATACCATCCCAAACTGCTGCCCTCACCTGTGACCTTGGCCAGTCGCTGCCCCTGGCCCCCAACTCCTTCCTCTGAAGAAGGAGGCAGTGATCCCGGATCAGGTGTTTGCCGGGACACTCCTAGCAGTGGCCCTCCGTGATGTCTGCCCTGAGTGCCCAGGTCTGAGCACATGCTTTGTTTTCCACAGTTCACTTCACTGCCAAGGAGGCTGGGGACCTGTCCACGCTCTTTGATGTTGGTGGCATCATAGGTAAGGCCACGCCCTGCTGTGCCTCTCAGCTGCATCCACCTCTTCTCTTGTCGGGTTGCAGAGATAAGGGATAGGCTCCAGTGGGACGAGACCTAGGCACGTGGCCTCAGGGGGAAAAGGTGGCATCCTGCCCAGGTGTCCCTCCCGTGAGCCATGGGTACGGGGACGGTTGCAGAGGGAGACACTCTGCTGGCCCGGGGTGCCCCCGTCGGGCTCGTGCTGGGGGGACTGCTGGGGCAGTGCTCGGGGGTCCCCCGTGCCTGGGGCGGCAGTGTGCCCGTTGTGTTCCAGGTGGCATCTTGGCGGGGCTCGTCTCTGACTACATCAATGGCAGGGCCACCACCTGCTGCGTCATGCTGATCTTGGCTGCCCCTATGGTGCGTAGAACCTCAAGGTCGAGGGCCGGGAGCTGGGTGCACGCCCGGGCATCACACACACACACACCCGTCTCTTTGCGTGTGTGCAGCCCTGTGCACGGCCAGGGGAGGAGAAGCCAGGATCAGCCCAGGGAAAGGGATCCAGGCTGAGAATTTTGGAAAAGGACTAGTGGCTCTTTGACCTCAGTGAGAGGCGAGGGATGTCAGCTGCTAAACTTCCTGACGAGGGAAAGAATAAGAGGCTGAGGTTTGATAGGAGAGGAGACTTCTGGGGCAAAGGGAAACGATGGATTACTGCGTGTTAGACCCTGCCTCCCTGGGACGCTTGAGGACCAAGAGGCCAGGGTATGAGAGGAAAGAGAGGAAACAGGGCTTCAGGGGTTTCCAGCCTTCTGGGCTCCAGGCTAACAGAGGCGGCCCGCGGGGAAGCCAGCTTGTGACCCTGCCCCCTGCTTCTCCTCTCTCAGATGTTCCTGTACAACCACGTTGGCCAGAGCGGAATCGGCATCTCCATAGGTGGGGAGTGGGCGCTGCCCTGGGGACCACACGAGGCTGGCTTGGGGGCACGGTGGGCGGCCTGGGGAAGTGGAGGTTCTCGGCCTGGAGCCTGGGGGACGCACCCGCTTTGGGGCAGGGGCTGACGGCGGCCTCTCCTCTCTAACTGGCCATCCCCATCACCACCTCAGTCATGCTGCTCATCTGCGGAGCCCTGGTCAACGGCCCTTACGCGCTCATCACCACCGCTGTCTCGGCTGACCTGGTGAGCAGGGCTCCCTCGGGGACTGGTCAGGGCCTCTGTCTCCAGGCTCATCTTCCCCACATCTGTCCCCTTCCCCCAGCCTGCAGAGAGGAGATCCTCAAAGTCCTTCAGAGTCTGCCGTGGGTCCCCGTTTCTTCCCAACTCCAAGCCCTCATGGCTCCCTTTCCCCAAGCCAGCCCCTTTCCCGGTCCCAGTCCTGCTCAGGGCACTGCCTCTTAGTTCAGCCCCCACCCCAACACCCCAACTCTGGTGTCTGTCTCCAGGGGACGCACAAGAGCCTGAAGGGCAACGCCAAGGCGCTGTCCACTGTCACAGCCATCATCGACGGCACTGGATCCATAGGTCTGTGACTCTCGCCTTCCCGAGCCTGGTCTGGGGCAGAGTTTTAGGTTGGAGGGCGGGGCCCCTGCTCCGGGCCCTTCTCTGATGCAGTGCTCCGCACAGGTGCGGCTCTGGGGCCTTTGTTGGCCGGGCTCATTTCCCCCACGGGCTGGAACAACGTCTTCTACATGCTCATTGCTGCGGACGTCCTGGCCTGCTTGGTAAGAGTTTGGGGGCACACAGATGGGGAGGGGGAGGGGTCCCCTCTTGCAGGCCTGGAACCTGGGGCTCCCAAGTGTCGGGATGATGAGGACCGCTTCCCTTGCGCGAAGCACTCTGCCTCCCAGGGGTGACCCCCTACGGAATGGCTCTGTGAACAGCCAGCCCAGCGGTCACCTAGCGCTGGGGACTGGCCACATGCTCCATGCTCGTGTCTCCCTCCCCTCCTCCCCCCAGCTTCTCTGCCGGCTGGTGTACAAAGAGATCCTGGCCTGGAAGTCATCCCTGGGCAAAGACAGAGGGTAAGTCCTGTGGAGGGAGCACTGGAGCCCTGTCCACCTGGCCTCGCTCCTCCTGGGAGTGAAATCCATCGCTTGGGGGCTCTGCAGAGAGTCTGAGCCCAGCTCCAGCCCCGACCTCAGGGACGCGGCCCGCGGACCCCGAACGTGGTCCGCGAGCCCCGGCCCGGCCCCCAGCTCCACTAACCTGTCGTCTGTTGTCCCATGTCTCCATAGCTCTAATATGGCCCTAACCCACGCGTGATAGTCTTTTCCTCAAGTCCCATGACTTTTGTGAGTATTTCCTTCAAGCCTGTGACTGCGGTGCTCTTAAGAGTGCATGCAAAGCCTCTCTCTCCTCCAGTGTGATTTTTCTGATTTTCCTGACTTTTCTGACTTTCGCTTTTTCCTTGGGGGCCAGTTCCAAAGATTTGGACTCTGGGCGGAATATGGTGCTTCCGAACGTGCTCCGCGAGCCCCGGCCCGGCCCCCAGCTCCACTAACCTGTCGTCTGTTGTCCCATGTCTCCATAGCTCTAATATGGCCCTAACCCACGCGTGATAGTCTTTTCCTCAAGTCCCATGACTTTTGTGAGTATTTCCTTCAAGTCTGTGACTGCGGTGCTCTTAAGAGTGCATGCAAAGCCTCTCTCTCCTCCAGTGTGATTTTTCTGATTTTCCTGACTTTTCTGACTTTCGCTTTTTCCTTGGGGGCCAGTTCCAAAGATTTGGACTCTGGGCGGAATATGGTGCTTGGGAAGTATTTCCTCAGAGGCCGGAGCCACTGGGAAGGTTGGCAGCCTCTCCTTATGAGAGTGACAGGGTTTGGGACGGACCCCCGCCCCCACCAGGAGAGAGGAGGTGGCATCTGGGGAAATCGTCTTTCCTCTGAACTGGGACGCTGAGCTGTCTGCCCCTCCCAGAGTTCAGAAACCGAGGGTGTCTGGCCCGTCTGCCTGGGGTGTGCCAAAAAAAAAGCAACTGCGAAGCGAAGCCTCTGGAGCAAAACCCCAGGCTGACCTGAGGTGCGGTCTGCCTGTCGCCCAGCGGTGGTGGGTGCAGAGGTGGCTCAGACAGGCTCGCGGCTGAGGCCGGGCACGAGAGGCTGGGCCGTGCAGCTGGTGCTGAGGCTGGGAGTGTTCTCTCGCGGCCTTTCTGGCTCTCCTTAGGAAGCTCTTGCTCGTGAGCAGCAGCCCGAGCGATGGACCCGGTCTGGATGGTAGACGTGAGGGAGAACCCGCTGGGCGCCTGGGAACCGGCGCCGTATCTGGGGAGGCACTTCCCTTTAAGGAGGGCATCATCCCAGCTCAGGGAGAGTAACCTGCAGGGCAGGAGGTGTTAGCGGGGTCTCTGTCCTGCCCTGCCCCGGAGAGGGAGCAGAAGATGGCACCTCAAGACCAGTGCTGCTTCCACCTGCTGCCCCCTGCCGCCCCCCCAGGCCAGGCCTGCGGGGACCTGGGGAGGAGAGAGAATGAGGCAGGAGAGGAGGAGAATGATGCATAGTGAGCGTCTAATCTAGGTGTTGACTTGAGTCTGTCTAGCTGTACTGGCGTCCGTCTCAGCAGCCCCGAGAGGTAGAGGCAAGAGAACGGAGGAGGCTCAGAACTCACGGGACACACCTCAGGGTTTTAGCTCATCCCAGCAGAGCCCGCCTTTGGACCTAGGTGTGCGGGTTCACTGCCGTCTGAATCATCAGCGGGTCTTTCTCTGAGGAAGGCCTGTGTCGGGGGCGCGGAGGAGCCTGCTTGGGCACAGAGCCAGGGCTCGGCACCAGAAACCCTGGACAATCCTGCCTCCTTTGCTCGCCTGCTTCTGTCGAACCTTGGCACCTTCTCTGAATGTCCGCGTCCTTATGTGTCCAATGGGGGTGCTCTTTCCTAAATACCTGATTGGGTTGGTCTCAGGCTGAGACACACTGGGATAAAATGGCTTTGCAAAGCCGTCAGTCATGGTACAAACACTGTAAAGTTTTTTGAAACATGATTCTGGCTTGGTGTTCCCTGCTGAAGAGGTGACGGGGAGCCCTAATGACAATGAACAGGATGAAAACCAATTACTGGGCTGGCCAAAAAGTTCATTCGGGTTTTTCCATATGACATTATCAGTTCAGTTTAGTTGCTCAGTCGTGTTTGACTCTGTGACCCCATGGACTGCAGCACGCCAAGCTTCCCTGTCCATCACCGACTCCTGGAGTTTGCTCCAACTCCTGTCCATTGAATTGGTGATGCCATCCAATCATCTCATTCTCTGTTGTCCCCTTCTCCTCCTGCATCAGGGTCTTTTCTAATGAGCTAGTTCTTTGCATCAGGTGGCCAAAGTATTGGAGCTTCAGCATCAGTCCTGCCAATGAATGTTCAGGACTGATTTCCTTTAGGATTGACCAGTTTGATCTCCTTCATATGATGTTATGGGGAAACCCAAACGAACTTTTTGGCCAGCCCAGTATTAAGGGACCCAGTATTAAGGCAAGGGGACTTGCCTTTCCTGTTCCCACTGTTGGGATGGGAGCCAACACTTATTAACCAGTGTCTCACTTTCTCTTCCACTGCCTCTGTCCTCATGCAGGTATAGAGAAATGTGAGGCCCCTGATCAGAGCAGAAACATGGAGGGACCTTGCCGGGTCCCAAAGTGCCCCCCCACACAGATGGCTGAGGCAAAAAGTCCCTTGACCCAGCACCAGCCAGCCTAGCCCACGAGGCTTCCAAGGGCTAGGAGATGCTCCATGAGAAGGGACCGCCAAGCTCGAGGACATGGAAGACTCAAGGGCCTTACTGGAGAACAGAGGGAATGCAGCGTGCTCACCATACTGAGAAGGCATCTTGAGACCAAACACAAAACGCTCAGGCAGCTCCGTGCGATCTGTGGATCAGTTTATTACAGGGTCATTTACAGGATGGGGTAGGGTGGACAGCGATCTGGGAGCGTCCCCATGCTGCCCAGGGGCCGTGGGGACGATTCTATGGCTAACCTGGGGGACAGGGAGGCAGGACATGCATTCCTAAGTGAAGATTTATGAACGCATAACCAGTCTTGTGGGTGTTGGGAACACGTCAGAGAAGGTTTCCATCATTGTTTGGGGACTAACAGAGCATAGAGGCTACCTGGTCCTAATGGGTATGAAACAGTATCTGTTAACGTCCAAAGCCCTTGATAACAGGGTGATGATTCAGCATACCGTACAGTCCTGAGTAGGCCCAGCGGAAGGAGGGGAGAGACTATGAAGATCCCTGATGGTGTCAGTTCCGCTGACAGTGATCCAGGCCTGAACTCTGGAGACCAAAAGCTGGAGGGATTGGGGCTGAGGGCTGTCAGCATTTTGGGACAAGGAGGGGTCTGCTCAGACTCTTCTTGTTCAGATTCCAAGATGGATAGCCAAGGTTCAGTGAGGCGAAGGCCTGGAAAGAGTGCCTCTCCTTCTCATGTTAAACTTGAACCTCTGTAATCAGCCTCTAGCTGAAAGTGTGTATTTCAGAGCCACCAGACCTCTCTTTGTCCCTTATGTCCACAAGCCTGTTTTCTCCATGTGTTTCCCCACGTTGGTACCCCTGCTTCTATCCTCCATTTAATCCTGTTTCTAACTCCTGACCCATGTTGATTAGAACATTATCGCTGTATCCTCCAGGGAGAGGCAGGGCGGGGTGGGGGGTGCCACTCCCAGGCACGGCCAGCCCGAGTGTGAGGGCTCCTTGCCTCGCTCTTGTCCTGGCCCTCTGTGTTCCCGGGGCAGATGGCTTATCACGGCAGTGCTGTGGGGGAGTTGTGTAGGGCAGTGGGCGGGGGGGGCATGACCCAGAGTCCCAGTATGTTATTAAATATTTTGATAATGAAATGCCAGTGGTTACTGAGTGTTCACTGTTGGCCACCTTGAACCCTTGGATCTGCCAGGCAAGCTCTTGGCATCTCTATCTGCCCTCTGACACTGCTTATCAGCCCCTGTGCTGATATCTGTTGTCAGCTGCCCCTGTGCTCACTGGGGCTCACGTGGGCTGTTGGCACAGCATCCCAGGACCTCAGGGTGGTGTGCTTGCTGGGTGCCCAAAACTGGGGTGTTCACGGCAGGCGTGCCTAGAGGAGGCAGTTCAGTCAGTTCAGTTGTGCAGTTGTGTCTGACTCTGTGACCACATGGACTGCAGCATGCCAGCCTTCCCTGTCCATCACCAACTCCCGGAGCTTGCTCAAACTCATGTCCATTGAGTCAGTGATGCATACAACCATCTCATCCTCTGTCATCCCCTTCTCCTCTTGCCTTCAATCTTTTCCGGCATCGGGGTCTTTTCCAATGAGTCAGTTACTCAAATCAGGTGGCCATAGTATTGGAACTTCAGCTTCAGCATCAGTCCTTCCAATGAATATTCAGGACTGATTTTCTTTAGGATGGACTGGTTGGATCTTGCAGTCCAAGGGACTCTCAAGAGTCTTCTCCAACACCACAGGTCAAAAGCATCAATTCTTTGGCACTCAGTTTTCTTTATGGCCCAACTCTCATATCCATACATGACTGTTGGAAAAAAACATAGCTTTGACTAGACATACCTTTGTCAGCAAAGTAATGTCTGCTTTTTAATATGCTATCTAGGTTGGTCATAGCTTTTCTTCCAAGGAACAAGCGTCTTTTAATTTCATGGCTGCAGTCACCATCTGCTGTGATTTTGGAGCCCCCCAAAATAAAGTCTCTCACTGTTTCCATTGTTTCTCCATCTGTTTGCCATGAAGTGATGGAACCA